TAAATTTTATTAATTTAAAATACAAAAAATGTCATATTAATTATTAAATTGAAATTGAATCTTTTGATACTAAAATTATTTTTTTATTTAATAATTTTTATTTTATAATTCAATATAATTTAAATTATTAAATAAAATTTTAATATAAAAGTTGATAAAAAGAGATAAAGATTTATAGGGGAAGGTCTTTTTGTCAATACTAGACCTTCAACACATGTTAATGTACCAACCGTGGTTGTTGGTTTCTACCTCATTAGCTAACTGAATTTATTCACTACCAGCCTTTTTAATTCAGAAGAATAGTTACATGATAGCGACAGACATGTGCGAGGGTCTATGCAAAGGTCACGGGATCTATCATCTGAACAGATTAATCGTATTATTTTATATATTAATAATCTCAAACATAAGTTAAATGTAAAAATTTTTGAAAATGTTAATAATTAATGATTAGCTCACAAAAAAGATTACCGTCTCTCGTCTTTTTACCGTATCTACATCCCTATGTCTGAAATGTAAAACTTTAATTTTAATTTTTTGTATTAACCATAAGTTTTATTAGATTTTGATTTATTTGAAGTTAAGTCAATTAGACATTGTAGAGAAAAAAAATTTTTAGTATTTAATTTTTTAATTAAAAAAATTAAAATTAAAAATTGAATTAAAAAAAAAAAAGAATTCGTTCCACTCAAATAAAAAAGATATTGGATAAAAATTTTTATTTTTACGTGAAGGAGATCTTGAAACTCATGTAGGTTTTCCCTTTCTAAAACATTAAACAACCGGGGGTGAGCCGGTGACTACTTCTACCTAATTAATTATTTTAATTCTAGAGTTACAGAAAGAATCTTGATGGACGGCATTAGTGTTTTTTTCTTGGTTTCCCGCCCGGTATCTGGAGCTTCGTCCCGACTACTCCGGACTCGACCAGTTGTGGCGCACCAGAATAGTGAGTAGGTCTCTCAACGAAAGCTGCTGCGTACACAAAGTTTCGAATTCAAGACCTTACTTAAACTGGAACAAACCGCTTGCCGACATTAGTGTTGTTTGAATTAACGTGCTCTGTTTTTCCAGCTTGTATGAAACCAACTTTATAGTCCTACCAAACACCACGTATGTTTGTCTGCATTATGCCTTTCAACATTTTCTTGATTGTTTTAAATTTTTTTTAATTGTGATCAAATCTTGTTCTCCTGTTGTTAATCAAGTGATTAAAGAACTTATTACGAAAAGTCTCAGATGCATCTCGTGCCTAACTGGGAAATATAGCTTATAGCTACAACTTCTAACTTCGGTCTTGTTTGGTGTTAGAAACAAATCATCCACCTAATCGAGGAAAGTTAAGTGACAAATTAATATTTACACGTCTTAATACAATAACAAATAAAGGATGAACTTAGCGTATTTAGTTTCTTTGCATATTACAATTCTTCAAATGTATAGGATTTTTTTTTCACCTCTTTATGGGGTAAAAACTTTCCCTTATTGGGACACATACCCAAAAAGAAAGAACTGACCCATCAAACAGAAAAACAAGAAAGAATTAAGGTAGACAAAATTGAGTAAAGACTAGTGATGAGTTTGTTCTTGCCTCTCTTGCTCACGTGTTTTCAAACTACCAAAATGCGCCATAATGGGGCATGAACATGATGAAGGTTAGAAACATTTCCATTTTAGGAAATTTATAACATGTAAAGGTTTATGTAATTCTATTATACAAGAATTTAGTAAAGCAACATATATGACCTTAGAAAACCTTCCTTTTTTTATTTATGGAACCGCTTAACTCAATAATATAGTTTGTCATCAGTAAAAAAAGAAAAAAAAAAAAGTTAACTTGGGATCGAACGACATATACTTTATACATGAAACTCATCTTTAATTCACAAGATTTATGGAACATAAATCCAAAAATTCCGGGACAACAGTCGTGGACCCTGTATGTTCATTGTGTCAAAGGTGAAACTACACAAACACGTCGATGTCGCGAAATTTCGGCGTTAAGAAAGAAAGAAATGGTTGACTTACGGCCAGTGAGCAATGGCATGTGAGCTACACATGGGACTCGACTTGTCCCAAATACACCAGCCCCCATCAGTATATTTAATTTGCATCAATCTCCCCCATACCTCCCATGTGGACTGAATTCTCTCTTGAAATACTAATTACAGTTTCACTATACTCCATGCGAACATACACGTGCAATTTTACCCATGAATTGAATTCTAGTTATTCTAGAATTGAAAAAAAAAAGAAAAAGGAATTGCTTTGTCATAAATGTGACAAAAGAAAATTAAATTTTCAAATATATCTTTTATATATTTTAAGGTTGATTTTTTTTAATATGTCGGATAATGAGTTATACAATAAAAAATAATTTTTTATTTCTCAAATCCTCTTTTATCCATCTTAAAATTTAAACTTAAAATTTCTTATATAAAGATTCAAACTCTTAATTATTAAGTCATTCTCAAAATATTTTAAAGTTGATTGAACAATTTTTTTCAATTTGATATATATCATCATGTCTTGACATAATGATATACAATTCGAATCTTTAATCATCATCACATGCATCCATTATCTTCCTAAACAACATTTTGGACTAGATTTGTTTCAATAATCTTGATTATAAAAGCTTAATTATGGACAATCCTATCAATCAAGATCAAATTCAATTAATTATCTACCCATGATTGACAAATATGCATATTGCTACTGTTTAAGAGAATATATGATTCACCTAGTTCTTGTTCTTCCTACACTTTCTAGGTCAGATAACATATTATAAAAGGAAGTCTATCCTTAATTAAGACGATTTATATTAATGATTGGGATGAAACCACTAATCGTCAATGATTAGATCCCACTTTGATAGAGATAATGTTATCTTTGTTGTCTTATACAAAATTCAGCCTCTAATATTAGATTAACTAATGTCAATAAAATCTTAGTTAATGTCGGCGCTATGTTTTTCCCCCAATTTCAATGAATGGTAGCTATGTATCTTTTGATAAGATTAAGAGCAAATACATCTAATTAGTGAACGATGAATGGACATTAAGAACATATTCAAATTCAGAAATTAATGTCAGAAGTAAAAAGGAAAGTAACAAGATTTACATTTGTTTTTGTTTTTCTTCCTTTTTAATACAAGATGTGTCTGAGATGACTCAAGATGATTGAGGATGGAAAGTGGAAAGATCATGTTTGGTCAAGATCAAGGAATAGAAGATTGTCTTTGAACATTATTGGAAAAACAAGTTCTATTATTTTGCATGATGAACAATAATACATACACTCTACAAAGTTACACGCACCGTTGCACACTGATGGTTTCCATTATTTGTACCGTTAAAACTAACAGTTTTCGTTAATTATATCGTTAAAATTGACGATTTCCGTTATTTATACTGTTAAAACTAACGATTTCTGTTACATACTGACGGAAATCATTAGTGTATAATGAAATGTGTATAATGAAATGTGTAACTGTACAGGATGTATATATTATTATACTTTTTTGCATGATATGTGACTTAAAATCTGCTGTATTACTTTTTGTAAGCTAGGGGAAAATCAAACAAGATCCGCCTACACTTTGCGCCATGCTATTTTATTTCCTTCTCTAATTTCTAGTACAAGCAAAGATAAAATTAAGGGGTGGGGATGTTTCTAACCTGGAGATAAAAAAAGGGGTAGACAGAGATCCAAGAAATTTGAAGAAACGTACCTATCCGATTGGACATCCAAAACCAGGTTTGGCCACCAAAGAAAATGTATGAAACACATATCATACTCAAATAGTAAGATTCCTTAAGGCGTAGGTCATGTTCGTGTTGATTAAAAGATAGGTCATTTATCATCTATTTATCTTTCACTAAATATATTACCATATGACAAAAAGAAATTTGTGTAATACACAATGAAACTTTATTATAGAAGTAAGCGTTCTATCATATTACAAGATACAAAATAGTAACCATTATTGGAAAGGAAGACAATCTATTTAATGATTTATGTTGTGTAATATAAATTGTATAATATTTTTTTAAAATAAAGAAAGAACTTAAAAATTAAAAAAAAAAAAAAAACTAATCCTCTTTTGATTTATGCAAAAATGTTGTGTAATTTGAATTATTTTGTATTGTACAACTTTAACCATTAGATGAAGATGGTCCTTTAATGATGGGAGCTCCCTCCTTTATCCAATTGTTCTCATTGCTATACTACAAAAAAAAAAAATTATTTTTATTTATTCATTATGTATATAAATAAAAATCTATTTACACATAAATTTTACACATCACATATAAAATTTAAATTATTAATTTTTTCTATTTTAAACGGTTAAAATTTATTTATATTTATTAAAGATAATTAATTTTTATTTAAAAAATTATGATAAATCTTAACTATTAAAAGAAAAGAGATGAATTATTGAAATTTTATATAAAAATTGTATATAAATAGATATATATATATATATATATATATGAGAGAATTTAGAAGCATGGGCTGGACCCCAACATTGACTGAGGCCCGTTTGTTTCAAGGGTTTCGGTCCACAGCCCAAGGAAAAATTTTGGACAACAGCCCAAAGTATATTTTATTTAGAAATTTAAAATTCAGTTTTTTGACGGTTTGGAAGCTTCCACTTTTTTCTTTTTTGGGTCCCACGCCCGAGGTGGTATCCATCGGCGGCAAAACGGAGCCACATGTTCTCTTTGGCGGCTAAACCCGGAGAGAACCCCTAGCCACCACCTACTTCCCTACCGTCATCACCGTCATTTCTTTCTCGATCCTACCTTCCATGAATTAAACCGCCAAACGCCGAATTCCGCATTCTCAAAAAAGAAAAAAAAAAAAAAATTTCCTGATGCAATGATCATCTCTTCCACTTACACCCTCCGTCACGGCGGCAACCTTCTATGCCACGTTCCGTTCCATGTCCGGGAATTCCGGGTATACAAACACCGCCGTTTAAAGCACACTCGCCGGAACCTGTCCGTCCACAGTCACTTGAATTGGTCTTTCGATAACTTCTTCCAGAACCTTCCCTCCTGGAATCTCCTTACTCCTGCGTTCGGGCTGGCTTCTGGCGCGGCGCTTTTTTTGTCATCTAAACGGAAACTCGCCTCCGAAAGTCGTGAGTGCGACATCGGCGAGTGGATCTTATTCACCAGTCCGACGCCGTTTAACCGCTTCGTCATCATCCGGTGCCCGTCGATATCGTTCGAGGGGGGCGAGTTGATGCATGATGTGAATGAGAGACTGGTGAAGGAAGACAAACATTTTGTGAGGTTGAACAGCGGGACGATGATTGAGGTAAACGAGGGTGGAGGAGGAGAGAGCGGGAGTGAATTGGAGTACCAGAGGGTTTGTGTGAACACAGAGGATGGCGGTGTTATTTCTCTGGATTGGCCGGCGAATTTGGACTTGAAGGAGGAGCATGGATTAGATACTACTGTGCTATTGGTGCCAGGGACTGTCGAGGGGAGCATGGACGAGAATGTGAGAACCTTTGTTCTTGAGTCCCTCCGGCGTGGGTTCTTCCCTGTGGTGATGAATCCCAGAGGGTGCGCTGGATCACCTCTCACCACTCCACGGTAAGCAATTGGGTTCTTAATCTGTTTGTCTCCGTTTTGGTACTGTGATAGCTGAACTGCTTCATTTATGTAGGTTATTTACAGCTGCTGACAGCGATGATATCTCCACTGCTATACAGTTCATTAACAAGGCAAGACCATGGACCACATTAATGGGTGTTGGGTGGGGATTTGGGGCAAACATGTTGACAAAGTACTTGGCAGAAGTTGGGGAGAAAACACCTCTCACTGCTGCCACTTGCATTGACAATCCTTTTGACTTGGAGGAGGCCACAAGATCAATTCCTCATCACGTTGCTTTGGATCAAAAGCTTGCTGGTGGACTTGTAGATATCCTACGGTCTAACAAGGTTGGTTATTGCTTCAAATTTGACATCTTTCTATTGTTGAGGCCTGCTTCAAGTCCAGTTAGCCATTTTTATAGTTACTTTGTTTGGCTTGTAAATTGATTTATGTAGGAATTATTTCAAGGCAGAGTGAAAGGGTTTAATGTGGAAAAGGCTTTATCAGTGAAATCAGTTCGTGATTTTGAGCAAGCAATATCTATGGTGTCTTATGGTTTTGAGGCTATAGAGGATTTTTATTCAAAGTCTAGTACTCGGAGCCTGGTTGGAGATGTGAAGATTCCTGTGCTCTTTATACAGGTTTTTCTTTTTCTTTTTCTTTTTTTGGTGCACTTCTATGCAAATTTTCAGGAACTTTTGGATGTCATTGCATATTATGTTAATCCTTTTGGAATTACACTGCATGTTTAATGGGCTGATTTTGTTCAAATTCTTCTTGCATTTTTAAAACTATCTTCTGCCTTGTCATGTTGTAGGTCAAGAATTGTACTGCATTAGAACTCTACTTCCCCTTTCTTGTGTAAAAAGGGAAAACCTAACTAGTCTTTATTCTGTCACTTATCAGAATGATGATGGAACAGTTCCAGTGTTTTCTATTCCACGCAATTTGATTGCAGAAAATCCATTTACAAGCCTGCTTCTCTGTTCTTGTTCACCATGTAGAGCTGCTATATCTTGGTACCAGCACTTTACAATTGAGGTATTGTTTTCTTTAAATTCCATCTCATATGTTAGCCAAAAGTGTTGAGATCTTATCTTCAAAATGACAGCTGAAATTTTCCTTTGCCTTCCTTTTGATGATGCACAAACCATTGTAAACATGTTGTATGTAATTGCAGTTATAGTTTCCAACCACTGCACTCAAATTACATTTAACATTGACAGTTTTTAGTCAAATTGTGGGGAATCTTAGAGCCAGAACAAAATTTTCCATTCTCTGAACTAGATTCATCCTATTCTTCTTTTTATGCTCTTTCTATAATATTTAACAGAGCATAATCCCAGGGACGTCCTTGCTTTCTTCCATTCAATTCTATCTAGAACAATATGGTAATTAATTAAGTTCTGCTGGCCCTTGGAATCTTTTTTGAAATATCATGCCTTAAATTTCATGGAAGTAAGAATAGAATACTGAAGACACATATTGCAAGAAAACTAATGTGCACATTGGATATTATGTTTATAAAGAGCTTAGGAAAGCACAGTTTATCATGTAATAAGTAAATTGTTAAGTGAAATATGGACAATCTGAATGTATGGCACCATGATTTTTTACTGTTGATCATGTAATGCCCCTTGAACTTGAACATTGGTCTAGGTGATTATTGTGTATTGTGTTGTTTCTTTCCAAACTTGTACTGTATATATCTAATTGAACCCGCACCAGAAGTGTTACATAAAAACCTTATATTTTGTTGTTTCAAGTATTTGATATTAACAAATTTTTGTCTGCAGTATAAACATTCTGGACCTTTGACGCAGTCATTTTCCCACCTCTTTCTATCTATTTCTCTCCCTATGTTCTTCTCTATTTCTTGTTCAACATCAACTTGTTTTTTGTTCAGTTATATTTTGGTTTTAAGAATTTGGTTAAATTTTGCCATGCATTTTGCATTTGATATTTTGATTTGTATCATATGGCATGTATAGTGGCTGACTGCAGTGGAGCTTGGGCTTCTGAAGGGTCGTCATCCTCTTTTGAAAGATGTAGATGTTACCATTAACCCTTCAAGAGGGTTACCTCTTGTGGAAAGGAGATCAACTGAGAAGGGGGGAGAAGCTAAGAAGCTATTAGATCTTACCCATTTAAATGCTGTAAATGGTTATTGCCTAGATCCTGTTAGAGAGATGTTAGAAGATGTTGATACTGCTGCTACCATCCATCCTCACTCTAGACAAGATTCACATACAAATCTAGAACTCAGGGACAAAGGTCTGCATGGGGCAAAAGATGATACTCTTCAGACTAACTCTTTCAAAGAAGAATTGATCAAAGAGGAAGCTGGTCCATTGGATGGTGAAAGAAGCCAAATGCTACAAACAGCAAAAGTGGTTATGAATATGCTTGATGTAACGATGCCTGGAACTTTAAAAGAAGAAGAGAAAAAGAAGGTATTGCTTTAAAACTACAGTTTCTTATTTTAGTGCCATTTCTGCGACCGTTCTGTATCATATTGCATTATACCTTATTGCAATATCAAGTCCACGATTTTCTCTATCTGCCTATGTCATTTGCACGTCACGAGATGATATGATGTTCAAGTTCAGATCTATCTTCTACTTCTATAATGTTAAATTGTTTAAGTAGTTAAACTACACACTTTTGGTTTCTGTAAGAAGGTAAGAGAAAAACAGGAGAAGGGTCAAATCCATTTCTTTTCAGATGTTTTTTTACACTTATCTTAATTTATGATTTCCCCCCTTGGTTATTAGCATCTCTATGTGCTTCTGCTTTAAAATGCATTTTGTCAATTCAGGTTATCTAATCCCATTATTTAATTTTCTTGTTTTGCTCTTTTCAATCGGATCATTACTTTATATTAAAACATGTGTCTCATTCATCTAATACCCTATTTTCAGGTCCAGGATGCTGTTGGTAAAGGAGAGACAATTGTGCAAGCTCTGCAAGATGCTGTACCAGAAGATGTTCGTGGAAAACTCACAGCTGCTGTAACTGGAATTATGTCTGCCCAAGGGACTAGCTTGAAACAGGGTATCGGAAGGATTCCTAGTGTGTCAGTGCGTTTTGAGTCAAAAATTGAAGAAAAAATCAGTAGTTCTCATTCTGCAGAAGAGTTTGAAAGCTCTGATGATCCAGCACCAAGTAACATTCAAGTTGACATGGAGAAAACATCTGGTGGAATAGGATCACAGCTTCCCCCTGCAGAGAATTCTCAAAAGTCTTATGATGTTGATCAATCTCATCCAGGTTTCCATGAAGGTGATATTCCTAATACAGTCAGGACACCTACTAATGGATCATTAACTACTCATGAAGAAGAGATGTTTACGAAAGAAAAGTCTTCTGCATACTCTGAATTGAGTGATTTGGGTGTGAAGCCATCTTTTACCAACCAGCCTGAAAAGACTGGCAATACAGATGAAGCAACAAATAATGAGAACAAAGCAGACCAGGATGGCAGAACAGCTCAACTTGAAATGAAGGATGAGAATACTTCCCAGAAAAAGGAAGAGAAAAACCTGGATACTCCAACAGACCAACAAAAGACAACTTCTGCTGCAGAATCTTCTTCTGAATCCCTGGCAGTGGAAGGGCAAGAAAATGATAATCAGAAGAAAGAAAGCAAACATATTGGTCAGAATGCCCCCACTACCTTTGATTCTAATTCCTCCACCTTCAGTGTTGCTCAAGCTTTAGATGCACTTACAGGGATTGATGATTCTACCCAAGTGGCTGTTAACAGTGTCTTTGGTGTGATTGAAAATGTGATTTCTCAGTTTGAGGAGGAAAAAGTTGATGAAAATGAAACTGGGGATGTTGGTAAGGTTGAGGATAAGAATGTTGATTCTGTGCCTGGGAAACCACAGAAATTGGAAAGGAAAGAAGATAGTGGAAATGATAACACATTATCAAAGAAAGAAGGCAATGGAAAGAACCAGAGCATAAAGTTTGATGGGTTGTATTATTCTCCCCAATCTAATCATCCTGAGAAAGGTACAGGCTTGCAGCATGATGCAGGAAGTGAATGGATGCAGGGAGAACCTGCAAGATATCCCATTTCAGGTGATGATTATGCTGGTGGTTATAGTCATGGACCTCACAAAGTCAACAACTTGGGGATGGAGAAAAAGAATCAGTTAGTTACTGACAAACTTGTGGCAAATTATTCAGATAGAACTGTGAATAGCATTCCACTGTACATAAGGGCAAATCCGTATGGGGACTTTCTACAAAATGAATCTTTCCAGAGATATCTTCTTTCTAAATCAAACAATAAAGCACTGGATTTAGATACCACTACTGCTTTGTTGCTTGACTATTTTCCAGAAGAAGGGCAGTGGATGCTCTTGGAACAACCAGGGACTATTGGTGATTCTGTTCCTGAAGGTATAGCTCAGAAGGGTGTTAACCAACAACTGCAGGCCCCGTCAGCCACAAAGGTTAATGAAACAGAAAAGGTTATTGAACCATCCTATGTAATATTAGAAACTGATACGCAACATGAACCAGTGGAAGAGTATGAAAGTATGGATAATAGTAAAGAGGTAAATACTGAAAATGGTGACAGTAGACCAGAGGAATTGATGCAATTTGTGAAAACAATCATGTTGGACTCTTTGAGGGTGGAAGTCAGTCGCAAGTTAAGTGTGTCTGACATGAAAGAAATGGAATCTCAACTTACAAGAGATATAGAGACAGTTGCAACTGCTGTGTCCTTGGCTGTTGAACTTGATAAGGAGCACACTTATTTCCAAGGCAAGCTGTGGAATGGTAGCTATACTTCAGGAAAAGTTGCTACCATTTGTGGAAAGAATATTATTAGGGCTGTTTCATCTGCCGTTCAGGAAACAAGTTACCTGAGAAGAGTATTGCCTATTGGTCTTGTTGTAGGATCAAGCTTAGCTGGTTTGAGAAAATATTTCAATGTATCTACAATTCATGATGACTGTGAGAGGGAAGGTGTGGCTACAGATAAAACTGAAATTTTCAGGAAAAAGAGCTATGATAAGACTAGCATAAAGGAGATTGATCAAAAGTCCATTCATGAAACTGGTAAACTAGGTAGGTTACATAGCCCAACAAGCAAAGAACCAGTTGTTACTGGCTTGGAGAGTCTGAATAGTGATGGTGTTGTGGTTGGTGCTGTTACAGCTGCACTGGGGGCTTCTGCTTTGCTAGTGCATAAACAGGTACAAGTTAATCTTTTTGGATTTATATGAATCTATTTATTTTAAATGGCTCTTTGAACCTATCTTGGCTATCCATTTTCTTCTTTTGGGGGTGGGGGGCTACAGGAGCAAATCTTTTGTTATTTAGGTCACATCTACTGTAAAATGTCAACAGTTTAGGAAAATTCTCAACGAGGACATCTATATGGAGATGATCCCTTTTTTTATGAGAGAATCTATATGGAGATAATCCTTGAAGAAGAAAATATGATAAATATGGTGGTGAGATAATAAATGTATTTTACATTCATCAATTGGTCAGGCTGTCAAATCTTCTGCTAGTGTAACTAACAAAATGTTCTCAGGCATGCATCATCAATTTTGTGTTTTTATTTACAAGCATACTCCTTTTATAGTAAAAATTAAATACCATTTTTTCAAGTTTGGCCAATATGATTCTAGTGTACTAAAGAAGTGTCAGATTGATTATGAGGTGAAGATTTTCTTCATGAGTGTTGGAATATCAAGTTTTTCCAATATAGTTTTTTAGTTTTTCATCATTCTCCATGTCAATGGTGCTATTGTCTGTTTTCCTTGATAATTTGGGGTATGCATGTTCTCTAATGTTTATTGTTGAATATAATGTTAAAGGATTCTTTGGAAGGCAAGGAAACAGCGGAAATTCTCTCCAAATCCTTTGGGGAGAAAGGAAATCAGCACAAATACCCTGACAATCTTGAGGAAACAATAGCTGAGAAACATGAAAATAATGTAGTTACCAGTCTTGCAGAGAAAGCCATGTCAGTTGCTGGTCCGGTTGTACCCACAAAGGAAGATGGTGAAGTGGATCATGAAAGGTGTTTAACATTTGATTAATTTTATTCCCATATATGTGAAGTTATCTATTCGTTTGACTTTTAAGCTCTCTTTATGCTTTCCTCTGTTAGCAGGTTGGTTGCCATGTTGACAGAATTGGGACAAAGGGGTGGCATGCTGAGGCTTGTTGGTAAAGTTGCTTTGCTTTGGGGTGGTTTACGTGGTGCAATGAGTCTGACTGACCGGCTTATCATGTTTCTCCATATAGCAGAACGCCCCTTATTGCAGAGGTACTTTAACCGACTGACTTCCTTTTCAGCTCCTTCTGTTTATTTTTTATTTTTATACTCTGCATTTTCTCTTGCCATGCATCATATATTTATAGTCAAAACTTTGCAAGAGTAAATATTGTACGAGGAAAACAACTTATGTTGAACTTTTTGAAATTTTTGAAAGATGTCATCTGCCTTCCATGTTTCTGATACATTTATTATCAGTTCTTGTACTTGACGAGCGTTTAGCATTGGCATATAGGAACCAACTTATTTATGTGATTAGCATCCAGTCCTGCTCTTCACCTTTTCGGTGATTCTAGGGTTCTTCTCCTGGTGTTTGGGAAGTTTGGTATAAGCTGAACTTGATATCTTACTTTCTTGTACAACATATATTAGTTAAAATACAGACTAAAAATCTTGAAGTCTGGCTGCTGCTTTGTTCATGAATCATGATAGTTTGAAAATCCTGGAAATGATTTCATGAGACAGATTAGGCAGTGTTAAGTCATCCTACTGGAAAGGAAAATGATAACCTTACAGCAATCTATTTGAAAACTGATTTATTGCAAATTTCATCTTACAAAACTTCAATTTTCTGCAGTTATGTCCTGCTATTCATCTTGTTCATGATTACAAGGAACATTCATGGGGCAAATTTCTCTGAATTTTTCCTTTATGCTCTATGGAGATCCAATTTTCTACTTATATTTGTTATTTCTGATATTAAAGCTAGTTTTTTTTTTTCTTTTTTTCTATGTTAATCTGATTTTTTGCACTCTGGATATTGCCTTTACTGAATTTTCCCCTTCTTGTCCTTCTTTTCTTTCTAAAGGATTCTAGGCTTTGTGAGCTTGGCTCTTCTTTTATGGTCTCCTGTTGTTGTTCCATTGCTTCCAACTCTGGTACAAAGCTGGACGACAAATAATCCTTCCAAAATTGCTCAATTTGTTAGCATTGTTGGCTTCTATACTGCTGTAATGATTCTTGTCATGCTCTGGGGAAAAAGAATACGTGGTTATGAAAATCCTCTCGAGCAGTATGGACTGGATTTGACATCATTGTCAAAGGTATTGTATTAGCTTGAAATATATAATATTCTGAATGGGTTTAAATCTTTATGTTTATATCAGCTTCTATTTAAATTAAAAAAAAAAAAAAAAAAAAAAAAGAAGAAGAAGACAAAAAATGCTTGTGTTTGTGGATTTTTTGCATATGGGAGATACTGATCTTAGATTCTCATTGCTTGCAGATTCAAAATTTTTTTAAGGGCTTGATTGGAGGAGTGCTTCTTGTTGGGCTAATACAGTTTGTAAATGCCCTCCTTGGCTGTGTTAGTTTTACTGGGCCTTTAGGTCTTCTCTCATCTACTTTAGATGCCATGACATGGTTCAAAGAGTATGGGAAACTGCTAATGCTGGCTGTTCAAGGATTTGTAACTGCAACTGGTGTTGGGCTTGTTGAAGAATTGCTTTTCAGATCATGGTTGCCTGAAGAAATTGCCACAGATCTTGGCTATCATCAAGGAATTATCCTATCAGGACTTGCATTTTCTTTATTTCAGAGGTATTATTCTTTTGCCATCAGGGGATATTTCATATTGCGAGGATTTGTAAGAAAAATTGTTCTTCTCTGACAACTACCTCCTCATTATTCAAATGTGAATTCAGGTCTTTCCAGGCAATTCCAGGGCTATGGTTATTGTCATTGGCGCTGGCAGGGATTCGAGAACAAAGTAAAGGAAGCCTCTCTGTTCCAATTGGATTCCGGACAGGGATAATGGCTTCAAGTTTTGTCTTGCAGACAGGTGGATTTCTAGTTTATAAGCCCAACTTTACTCTCTGGGTTACAGGAACTCACCCCTTTCAACCATTTAGCGGGGTTGTTGGTCTTGCATTCTCCTTCTTGTTGGCAGTCATTTTCTATCCAACGCAACCTCAGCAAAGGAAGAACCTGAAAAGGACCATGCAGGAATAAACAGAGAATCCTTATGTCATAACAAGAAATCTGGAGAGATGCGCTGCAGGATTTGGGTTAAGCTATTGTAAGCTTCATCTTAGAATCATCTGCAGCTTATGCATGGTAGAACCTAATGTCCGTGTTTCTCTGCCTTGATGGGCGTATGAGGAAAACAGAAAGGGAAGGGAAATACATCTGAACAACAATGGAAGGTACAGTGGCACTGTTAAAGAGGGCAGATGAGTGTGTTGGAAGACAACAATGGTCTGACATGGAACGGTTCCACAACTGTTTGTCTACACTCTTTTTTGGTGGGAAGGGAGGGCAGAAAGGAGGAAGGGCAAGGACAGGTGAGTGTACAGTTGTGTAAATTTTGTAAGGGTCATATGTTGCTTTGCTTGGTTTGCTTTCTGGTTTTACCCTTGAACTGAATACAAACAGTGCAGATTAGAGTCTAGTTAGAAATCAACACCGTTAGTAGGACAGATGATCGAAACTATACAACCATAACGAGATGAATATATATATATATATATATATATTTGAACAAAAATAATTATCTACAACTACTAAAGCGTAGGAGTTGAAACTCTAAGATTTACAGTCTAATTGCCACTTAGAAACGGAGTGGTTGATGAAGGAGATGAATATATTTATTCATGTTATTTTTTCAATTTTCCGTGGTGGATTATGCTCTTTGAGGTGGTGAACATCGTTATCAATCTTGTGAACAAGATAATATTTGTACCTTCCATAGTTGGCTGTGATAGATCACTGTTCCTCAATAAATGTAATGACCCCCAAAGTTTGAGAAAAAAGTCCAACGGTGAAAGTTTGGGAAAAGTCTTACCGTGCGTTGGGTATCCCTCAATTCTTAGTTTGAGGATGAAAATCTCAAGTTGAAATATTTAACACAAGGGGGGAATCAAAGTTTCTAGTTCAACCTTTAAATCAAACAAGAAGGTTGACTCGTGTTATCCAAACACGCTCAAATGCATCAATACAGGTTTTGACGAAGCATCTATGAATCGTTCATTTTGTTTCCAACTGATGGAATGAGAACAGAGAAGAGCTTAGTGATCTTGATAATCAAAAACTATTATTTCATGCAAATATAAAAGAAGACAGCTTGAAGCATATCTTTTGTTGGATTGTTGGATCTTTTTATACAATTCACCAACTCCACTTCAATTTCTTTAGTGCATCCACTAGCTTTACTTTCAGTTGAAAATTGGATGGCTCATGCCACCTAACACTTTTGCAAACATAGAAACAGAGAGAAAAAGAAAGATTGAGCAGAACAAAACAGAGCAATTTTTACTGAAATTGAAGGATGAAAACCCCACCCAAATTCCGATTCAAACAATGCCTGAAAAGAGAAACAAAAGACAAAACCCCCCTCCTCTTATCCAATCAAAATCCAAAGACGACAATATTTATTTTTGTGAAATGAGAAAATCACAAGGAGATAATCAAATTCTCTGCAGAGGTTTTCCTCAATCCTCAACGGCCAAAGGAACAGATTCCGCCTGCAAATTTACACAAAAACAAAGACGTTATAATAGGAAGTCAAACAGGGGGAAGAGAATAGAAGATACTAAGATGGGAAGGCCTAATTTACCAGTTTGCGGTATTTGAGAGCATAGAACATTTCAAGGTAGCGGCGGCTCTCACGGCGGTCAAGGTTGGAGACGTGCTTCCAGAAGCCATAGACTCCTGTGAGGGTCAACAGCCTCTCGGAGTAAATCTTCCATGTGTACCTGAAGATTAATGCAATTGAAATGAGAAAGTTTGAACTAGCATTTTCCATTCTAAAACAAATAAAATCATGGTAATGTACTAATGTCCTTACTTCTCCTCAATACGTTTCAATCCACCCTCTGAGATCTTGTCCCAGAAGGTTGGATCCTTCTTGCACTTCTCGAAGAAGTCAACAAGGATCTCAGCAGCTTGATCCCCATGGTAAGGATCAATGTGGTAGCCAGATTTACCATGGACAATGATCTCAGCAGGGCCACCCTTGCAAGTGGCGAATGTAGGCAATCCACAGGTCATGGCCTCAACAACAGTCAGTCCAAAGGCCTCGTACAACGCAGGCTGCACAAATGCTCCCCTGGTGTCACAAATGTAGCGGTAGAGTTCACCGTTCCTGACACGGTTCATTTGGGATGAAATCCATCTGAACTGCCCGTTCAGCTTGTATTTTTCAATGAGTTCAAACATCTTCTTCATCTCAGCCTTCTCTTCCAAATCCTTAGACTCCTTTCTCCTGTCTCCACCAACCACAACAAGGTTGACCAATTCACGGAGCTTGGCATTCTTTCCATACCATTCCACAAGTCCAGTCAAGTTCTTAACTCGGTCAAGCCGTGCCATGGTAAAGAGAATTGGTTTTTTCCGGTCCTTCAACACACATCTGTAAGAGAAAACAATGACAAGATCATTAGTACAAACAAAATTTTCAAGATCAAACTTCCAGAAGCAATATCTTGTGAAAAACTTGAATGGACTTACAAGTGTTCTTCATTTTCAACAGAGCTATATAAGAGCTCTTCGATCTCGCGATGGAATTTCTTCAACCGACGTTTCTCGTCAGTGTAAAGGAAGTAGATGCTCATATCAGCACCGGGGGAGACAATGTTGAATTTGGGATCAAACACATCAATCCCATGAACAACGCGGTACAGACCAGGCATGGTGAAAGCAGTGTGGCTCTCATATTGACCAACAGTGTCCTTGCTGAAATAATTCAAATTAAACAATGTTTAAGTCTGCACTTGCGGCCTTAGCCGCGATAGAAGTGCACCTTCCCCCTTGACGTCTTTGTCAAGGGTTCAAGCTGCCGATGCAGCAATATCGTAACTATTCCCCCATCCCCCAAATTTCCCACTGGTCAAAAAAAAAAAAAAAAAAACAATGTTTAAGTCTAAAGGACAACATTTCCAAATTCATAACAAAAGGACATAGATGAACAAACTACCTTCCAGCAATCTCTTGGAAGGTACTGGTGATGATGAAATCGGTATGGTTCATAGCAAATAGATCAGCTGTGAACTGGCAGGAGAAGTGGTACTTCTCATCCAGTTTTTTCCAGTAGATGTCTGAATCAGGATACTTAGTCTTCTCAAGTGCATGAGCAATCGTACACTGCAAAAGAGACCACAAATCACGATAAACTTACTTATAGAGGTAACTAGACCATGAAAATCAAAGTTAATAGCTTTACAAACCTGTGTAACCCCCAACTTATGTGCAAGCAAGGAGGCAACAATGTTCCCATCACTGTAGTTTCCAACAATCAGATCTGGCTTGCCCTGTAACTCCTTGGCAATTTCAGTGGCAACGTCCTGAAAACCAAGATAACTTCAATTATAAATCAATCCAAACAAAAGAACAGATTCTGTCAAAAAATATGAGATATCTATGTTAAGAGAATATGTTTTACCTCAGTGTAAGTTTCCAGGTAAGGCCAGACTTCAAATCTTGAGATCCATCTGCGTACAATTCCCTTCTCAGTTCTGAAGGGGACTCGGAGGATATCTGAATACTCAGTTCCATATACTTTCTCTAGTCTTTCACCGCAAGTTGTTCCCACAGCATCGGGGAGGAGACGGGTAATCTGTAAGTAACAGAGATTAAGTATCAAAGATATGCCTAAGAACACCTGATGGAAAGAAACATGAAATAAAATAAAATAAAAAACAGAACACTCACGATGAGAATACGTGGAGTAATGTTGAGTCCTTGCTGCTTGATTCGGAGAAGCATCTCTTCCTCCAATGCACGAACTTGATCCAAGATATAAACAACCTGCACGTAATCAAAATTAGTCTAACAGTGCACCATATAGTTCATGTTAACTTTGAGCAATTACGCTTTGTGAACACTAACCTGACCACCAGTGTCAGGGTACCCCAAGACATTGTCTTGGGCAAAGTAACCATGAGGGGTGAGGATCACAACATTAAACACCATAGGGATCCTTCCAAGGAATTTCTCGAGAGTGCCGGAATCAGGGGCCTCAAGAAGGTCCAGAAGGAGCTGGATCATCTCTAGCACACGCCCCGCGGTATCACCCCAGCCTCTTTCCAAACCAATTTCCTGGAACTTGTGTTCAAACTTGGAGTATGGAGTTTCTGAAGGAAGTGAGGTAAGATAGTCCTCAGCCTTCCTCAGGACATATTGGAGAGAGTTCAGACTCTGAATTTTGTCATTCAGCATCATGTTCTGCACACACCATGTTAGTCATCAGCATCATATACCACAAATAACAACTAAAATTTCAGTAAATTGCACTGAAAATTTTCCATCTTCCATGTTTAGATCTCCTATTTTAACTGAATCCGGAAATTTAAACAAGAAACAATGAGTAAATGGGTACCTTGCCCTTGTGGCAATGGACTCTGAGGAATTCAAGAAGAGGGTGGAGACTCTCTTTGTCATGGAAGAGCTTGGCCGAGAGGTGACGGTTGAGGAACTCAACACCATTACCGATGTACTTCTCAAGAGATGGCCTAGGGAAGGTTGCGTTGAAGGGCTCAAAATCCAACTCAAGCACGAAGTTGCCGTTCACGCTACAAGGTAAACCAAACAAAACCTTAAGGTTGGTTATTTTTACTTAAAGCTAGGAATTTAAAAGTCAGTTGTCGGAAACTTACGTTCCGTCGACAAGCTCTTCCTTGAAGTGGAGGTACTCCGCCTCGCGGAGCTCCTCCACGACCAGAGCGTGGATATTCACTCTGATATACTCCCACACACCAGGCCTCGGACGGACGGCAAGTGCCACCCATGGAGGCAACACAATCGCTTCCTACAAAAACCCGAAACAATCATCGAAAAAAGTTCACCGGAGAAAGTTTAAGCGCAAGATTTAGAAGGGAATGAGGTGACCCCTTGTTTACCTGGCTAGCCTTCAAAACTTCACCAAATCCTGACTGCTCAAGCTTCTTCCTGGGTCCTTCAGGGACGGCTTCGAATTCCAGAACAAGTTGAGGCTGCTGAAGGATTCCTTTGCCCTTAGCCTCAATCCTGTACCAGAAACAGTACCCCAGTAAAGAAAACGCAAAACCCATAAACCCCTAAACCCCCAAAAACAGAGTAAAGATCTGTCATACCTGGTGAGCAGCGCCAGAACCTCATTCCTGTGAGCATTGAGAGTCTCATCCAGCCGCTCACGGAGGCTCTGAACACGGGTAATAGCTCGCTCCGACATTGCAGAAATTCAACTGAAAACAACAGAGGAAATGAGAATAATGCAAACTAATCAAAACGTTCCGGTATAAATGGAAATGGATAAACATCCGTAGAAGTCAAAACCAACTTTAAATGCATTCTTTTCTAGATGGGTTATGAATTTCCAAACCTACCAACCCATTCTACCAACCCCGTGAGAAATTTCTAGTATTAAACAGACTTTTTTTTTTTGTTCAACTATGATTGCAGGAAAATATTGTAAGATCAGTTTTATACAGGTCTCTGTTTTTTCTTCAACAAGAAAACAGAGACTTTGACATTGTTTTCTGAAACAGGAGAAGACCCAGGTCGTCGAAGAAGGGAAGCAACGTGGGATCACTTTCAAAATTGAAAGATGCATAAACCCAGAAGAAATTTTGACAGAATGAGGCTAAAGCTACAGGAAGAAGAAAGAAGCAGAGTACCTAAACGGAGTGAAGGGAAGGAAGGCAAAATGAAGGGAGAAGAGAATATTGAAACCACAACTTCAGACGCAATTTATAGGCGAACACCATAATCGAAAAGGGAATTGCACCAAACTTTGTACTAATTAATTAAAAAAAATTATCTTAAAATTCTCAATTTTCTTTTATTCTATAATATTTATTTTTCTTACAAGATTGAATCTTTTTTACCTAGAAATTTCGGAACTTGAGGTTATTTAAGTAAACTCACCTAGATATAACGCCTAGAACCGGAAAGAAAATCATGCGGAAAATATGCATAAAGCAGAGAGCATTTAATTAGAAGTTGCCATAATTTAACAGCTCTGCAACCCCAAGAAAAATGTGCATACTGAATATTTTTTCTTTCTTTAATTAATTTCTCAGAAGAAAAAAAAAGGAGAGAATATTTAATTAAAATTTAGTAAGGTTGCTATAATTAAAGTTCCTCAACCCCAAGAATAAATTCACATTGAATTTTTTTTCCCCTTTTTTGAAGCCGAGAAATTTTACGCATTTGTTTCTTTTACCTCAAGCAACCTAACAATCAAAGATTCAAATGGGGATAAATTGATTTTCTTTTGATAATTTCTCCGAAATGGAAAGGGAAAAGCAGAGGAGAAGTGGTGGGGTCTGTCAGTCAGTCAGTCAGCCATTGGTGGTCCTGACCATCATCATAAAAAAAAAAAAAAAAAAAAAAAAAAAACAATCTTTTTGGTGTTTTGATTGTGATTTGAGCTTGAGCTCAGAGTACGTTTCTGTATAAGAATCTTTTGCACCATTCACACTACATCATTCAGACACCCCTGGGTTAAACTTTAAACATAGTGAAAAAAAAAAAAGGAAAAACACAAGAATATTCTAGAGAATATCTCACCGGGAACTGGAAAAACCCAACAAACACAACATGTGCTATCGGTCCATCTTAATAGAGTTAAGAGTTTGGTTTTTTGTGTTTGAGATTGTATATTTAAATTTTGAGATGGAGAAAGGATTAGGAACATCATCTGATAAGGGAAAAAAAAAATAAAAAACCCAAGAAACACAACACCAAATTGAAATAAAAAAATAAAAAAACATGGGCATTACGCCATTACCTTATTAATAATACACAACTTGAAGAAAGGAAGAAAAATGCAGATTACAGAGAAAGGGGTGGAAATGGGATTGGGATGGAGGAAGGGTTGGGTTCATGCAGGCTTTTATAGGGTATGTTTGCTTCAAATTGGTTTATTTTTTAACATTAAAAATTCCATGGTTTTTCTTTCCTATGGCTTTTTACTTTCTTTGGTTTTTGACCCTGTTTCAAACCCTTCCAATGAATTGTTTTCGTTATTTTTTAGGTAATGCGGACGGTTAATTTAAGGTTTTATTTTATTTTTTTAGCCTTGACGGTTATTAAATACTAACAAGGTCGATGGCCCAGAAAAACTAAAAGATGAGTATTTAGTGTGAATTTTAACGTATCATTTTGAAAATGGTATGATATTAAGTTAGAGTTTCTTTAATTTGTCTTTTAAAAGGTATAAGTTAGGAGTTTTAAAAAAATAAATATTGGTAAAATTTATTATTTTTTAATTAAATTTATCTGAATAACAATAACTTTAAAATTAATATTAATTTTTATTTATATGTTTATGGCAAAAAAGCACGCTTAGAACACCAATTAGAAAAGTTCTACAAGTTGTAGTGAATTAAAAGATGGGTAATAATTATTTTAAATTATATAATTTAGATAAAAAAAATTAAATTAAGCCATTAATTGTAGTAATATGTATCTAATTTAATAACAAGTATTTTGTAATTTTGTATAGATTAGGCTTTAAATTTATGGTACATTAAAAAAAGCTAATTATTTGACAATAAAAGAGTTTAAATCTTCAACTTTAATGTCAAATTAAAAATTTTAAAGTAATAAACATTAATTTGACTAAAATCTTGTTGGTGATTGATATTTTATTGTGTGGCGTAATAAAAGGGATTTTTCTTGATTAAAAATCCTCTATTATTCTTTTTTTCTTAAAGAAAAATCCTATATTACTGAGGGGTAATTCAGTAATTTCATTCCATCAGTACTTTTCTCGTTTTGGATAAAAAGGGATTTTGGTATCTTTCTGGCAGGGTGAAAGTTACAAGGAGGGTCAAACTTGTCGGAAACGGAAAGCAGAGGTACAGACAAAACCGGAGATCCACTCTCTCTTGACGTGGCGACACGCAATTGGACAGTCTCGGAACTGGGGGTAACCATAGAAAATGGAGACCACCGGTTTAAGGACCGCGCACCACGTGTAAAAGTGCGTAACAGCGAAGTCCAGAATTCCATTGGCTGAGTCCAACGTGGCATTACCGCCGCACCGACAAAACTTAATTACCGCATTATCCGCCAACTTTTGATTACTGATTTTATTTTTGTTTTGACTATAAAAGAAACAAAAGGAAAAAGGTAAAATAGCACGTCCTACAGTAATATTTTTAATGTGAAAATATTTGATAATTATTACATAATTAATGAATTTAT